GGAAAAGAACGAAGACGACGAAGAAAGCGAAGAGAACGGAGACGACGAATAGCCCGGTGGTGGTGGTGCCATGGAGGGCTGTGACATGGACCACATGCGCGTAAGGAGCCCCTGGCTCGAGGGGAAAGGCGACGGCAGCGGCGACGGGAGCGGCGGCGACCCCACCGACACGAACGGCGCCGAGTTGAAGAGGTCGGCCAGCTCCTGCCAGCTGGCGCTCAGGCGCCTGGCCGGCCCTATTCCTCCGTCGGAGCCGTAGTAGGCCGTCATGGCCGCCGAGGCGCCTTCGAACTGCGATTGGAGGTGTTGGTGGAGGAGCTGATGCGGCGACGATTGGTTGTGGTTGTGGTGGTGATGGTGGTGGAGCGCGTCGATGCGGTGGTCGGTAGTGGTCTGGCGCTTGGTGAGGTCGGCCACCTGCGCGCTGAGAGTGGTGTAGGCCGAGCGCATCTCGCGCAGCTCGTGCAGAATGGCCCGCATCACGTCCGGTTCGGCGGGCTGCCCTCCACCACCACCGCCGGGCGCCGTGGTCGCAACCTGCTGCGGCAGCGGCGGCGACGACGACTGCTGGCCAGACCCCTGCGGCGCTCCATCCCACAACCCTGTCCACGTGCCACATGCGTGCGTGTGCGGTCGTGCGTGTGTGTGCGGCGTGTGCGGCGTGTGTCAGAGCAAAGCCAGATATACAACAGCGGCGAGCCGGGCGCACCGGTTGGGTCATCCGCTGGCGAGGCCCAGGCCTGTTGTGGAAGTGGCGTGGACGCCGCTGCCGGCTGGGGTCCGGCGAAGGGCACAGGCGGCGGGACCAGGAGGGACCCAGGCTCGGCCCGGGCTCGCTTGGGTGCCGGGTAGAGCACTGTGGGTGGAGTGGGGGTGGCGAGGGCTGTTGGGGCGGTGGTGGACCTGCGCTTGCGGCAGGCGCCGGGCGGTCGGCCCCGCTTGCGCGGCGCGTCGGTCGGGTCGCAGCAGTTCATGGCCAGGCCAGGCCCGGCCTCGACGCAGCGCCGACACGGCCGTTGGCGGTCGCACGACAGGTGGCGGCTCTGGCACTGTGCACAGGGCCGCCCCACCGTACTCGTCGTTGCCGTGGTGGTCGGGGAGGTAGTATTGCCCTGCTGAACGTCCATCTTCTTGCCTTCTCCAAGACGCTGTTTCTTCTTCGTTCAATTCTATCTAATTGATCCCAACGTTGAATGCATGAAGATGGCGAGATAGAAACATCATGGTGTTGACAAACAGGCGAGAAAAGGCGCGATTGGTCCCCGCGGCGGGGAATGCACGGAATGCTCCCGACAAACACAGCGTATCCTTTTATTAGGACTTGGGCTTGTTGAGGAAGCGGAGCGAGAGGTAGGCCAGAAAGCGCGTGATGACGATCATCCCCACGATGAACATGATCTGCATCCAAACGCGAGACCAATGTGAGCCACCACCGGACTCGCAATCTCTACACAGACACGCACGGACGAAAGAGTTGTGTACGTACGTCGCCCCAGATATTGGTCTCCACGCCGAGTTGGTTGAGGACGTCGTCGCCCGTGATCGGGTTGACGGTGTACAGCGACGGCGATGATGGCGTGAAGGTCTGATCGCCCACGTCGAACTCGTTGAGCAGCAAGAGCTCGAAGGCGTACTTCATGAACGATATCCAGCGCGCCCACCGTGTCCACGGCCGCAGGTTCTCCTGTCTGATGAAGAAGCCGCCGAGCATCACCGAGCTCAGCACGACAATGATCGACAGGGTGATGGCCTTCTGGACGTCGAGGACTGTGGCCCCGATGAACAGACCGAAACCGCTGCCCATCAGCGCGAACAGGCACACATAAATTATGTAGAGAATGAAGCACTCGGCCTTGGGCGCTAGCCCCACCTGCGCACACGACGGACACAGAACGTATGAGGTCACACACACACACACACCGCACACCACAGTACGTTGAGGAACACACACACACACCATGCGCGCACACGCAACCGCACGCAAAAGTGGGGGAGGTGTAAGTGTACCATCCAGTAGGTGATACAGGCAAAGGCGATGGGTAGGACGAGCTCGAGGGGGGTCTCGGCGAAAATCTTGCCCATGAAGTAGCCCGACATGCGGTACGACCCCGTTGCTCTCTCCTTGTTGAGCACGGCTCTCTCGGGAGGAACTGTGCGCGGTCACCGTGTGTGTGGTGTGTAGTAGTAGTGTGGCGGTGGTGTGCTATGTGGTGAGTCCAGCTTCCGTGATATTGCCGCGTTCGACCGTTTTGGGAGAGAGCGTACAGGCGTAGAGCGCGTTGAACCAGGTCTGCAGAATCCAGAACATGGTGCTGAAGAACAAAAAACCTAGTAACAGGAAGAACCCTCGAGTGAGCGATGCCTCACGCCGCTGCCGCTCTGTAATGAGACATACCTGTGCGGTCTGGAATTTGAGCCTCTGCAGCCCACACGACAGATCAATGTGTCAGCTTGATATGGGTGGTGGCGGCGGCGGCGGCGGATTAAGGCGCAGGGGTACCGGTGGTGTCCCTCCGAATCCATAGAAGACCGGCCAGGACGGAGATGAAGATGATCTGCATGATGCGGTTCCATCCCAACAGATCGCCCTTCCGCTGGATGAAGCTGCGCTTGGTCAGCACGAAGGTCTGCTGGTAGAGCGGCGTGGGAAACTTCTTGCCGTGCTTCATGTCCTCGAGCGACGCCTTGGCCAGCTCGTCGACCTCCGGCGATGGTCCCTGACCAGCGGCCTCCTCCTGCTTCTTCCTCTCATTCTCGGCGTAGGCGTCGATGAGCAGCTGTCGTACCGTGCGACCGTCCTTGATCTTCTGCGACGAACTCACAACCTCCACTACGTGTGTGCACTTCAGAAAGTCAGATCATGGCTTGTGTGGTGTGTGTGTGTGTTTTGCGCGTGTGTGTGTGTGTGTGTGCGCGTGTGTGCGTGTGTGCGTGCGTACGGTCACGTCTGTGAGCGTGCCTGTGACTATGTCAGTGTGCGGGTATGTGCGTGTGGTGAGCGACGTACGCGCAAAGTCAGCGGGGTTGTATGTTGACGGCGCGTGGAGGCCGAGGGAGTTGAAGTAGCTCATGATCTCCTGCGCGCTACCCGAGTAGACCACCCAGCCGCCCTCTGCCAGCAGCAGGACCCTGTCGAACATCATGAACATGGCTGAGGAGGGCTGGTGGATGGTCGTCACTACCGTGTGCCCGCTCTTGGCCAGCGTCTTGAGCGACACGATGAGCCCGAGAGACGTAGCGGCGTCGAGGCCCGACGTAGGCTCGTCCAGGAATATCAGCGCAGGATTGCTCACGATCTCTGTCGCTATGTTCGTTCGCTTGCGCTCTCCGCCCGACACGCCCCTCTGTTGATGGGTGTCAGTGTCGGTGTGGGCGGTGGTGTGAATCTCGACAGAGAGAGAGAGAGAGAAAGAGTGGCGGAGGGCCGTACCACCCAGGCGCCGCCGACGATGGTGTTGGCGCAGCGCTGGAGCCCCATTTCGGTAAGCAAGTCCTCGACCTTGGCCCGCTTCTCCCTCCAGGGCATCTTCTTGGGCAGCTTGAGGTAGGCCGCGTCGCGCACCGTGTTGCGGACGGTGATCCTGGGGAAGAAGATGTCGTCCTGCAGCACGTAGGCCATTCGACGTTTGAAACGGCGGCCCTTGACCACCTCCCCATTCACAAGCATCGTGCCCGTCACGTTGGTCTTGATGCGTTGCGCCAGCACGTTGAGCAAGGTCGTCTGTTTCACAGCGCACGCACACCACACACACACACACACATGCACGCACATGCACACACACACCACAATCATGCGTGCAGCAGAGAGAGTGAGATCAGCAAGGACAAGAAGGAGCACAGGAATGTGTTAGTGAGATGAACCTTGCCCGAGCCCGTGGGACCCATGATGGCGACGACCTGACCGGCGTAGATTTTGCCGGAGACGTGGTTGAGGATGGGGATCTCCTTCTTCGGCCTGAACACGTTGGTGACCATGCTCGGGATGGGCAGCTTGAAGAGCAGCCTGAGCAGGATGCTCTTGGGCGGCAGCGGCACCATCACCTTGTAGTTGATGTCGTGCCACTCGAGGCTGAGCCGCCATCTGGGCGTCTGCGACGAGAACGGCACCGGCTGGTGGATCTTGGCGTACTTGGACACGACATCGCCCAGCTCCTCTCCGCTCACGCCAAAGAGCTCCTCAGCCTGGGCCATGTCGCGGTCCTCCTCGGCGAGCACGTCATCATGCGGCGGACGGCGGCCTCGTCCGCGACGATCCTCCTCTTCCTCTTCCTCCTCCTCCTTTCCCAGTCCCTCTCCCTCTTCTTCCTCCTCCTCCTCCTCCTCTCCTCCGCCTTCGTCTCGAACGCGTTCCTTGACTTCATCAAGCTGGTCCATCTAGGCCTTGTGAGTGTACGTGGTGTGCATATATAGGTGTGGTGAGGGTGCAATTATCGATTAGAGAGCAAATGTTGAGGCTCTGGCTGAGCAGGCTGGATGATGGCTGCTCTGTCGGCCAACAGGCAGACAAATAATGGGTGGAATTTCCGATTGCGTAAGCAAAGTGGCCTAACTTTAGAGTCCCTCAACGCACTTCTTTGTTTTCGCCCTCTTCGCTCCTCTTCAACTAACTCTGAGAGCACGGCCGCGGGAGTGGGCAGTCGTCACTTGCCTGAGAGGGAACACGCGCGCTCGTCGCAGGCCCACAACACGACACGACACACAACACGACACAGAAGCAACGCACGCACGCGAAAAAGAAGAGGGGCGATGCCTGATTTGGAATCGGCGTGCGGCAGTGAGTTGTAGTACACGGCTTACACTTGTTGTGCAGTTTATTTAGTGTTGGTCGGCGCCAGTCCGTCCGTCAGCTGTTTTAGTCCATCAGTGCACACTGCTGTTCTCGTTGGTGTGTTTGTGTTTGTGTGGTGTTTGCGTGAATCGCGTACGTTGAAGGCCTGCCGCGCTCGCGCTCGTGTGTGCATGTCAGTCAGCTTGCGGTCTCGCTCATTCCTCGGCGCGACGACGCTTCCGCTCGGCCTCGTCGCCGTCCGGACCGGGACCGACGCTGGCGGCCGACGACGTCGAGTCCTTCAGGCCCGCCGACGACTCTCTCGAGTGCTCCCTCTCCCTCTTCCTCGCGCCGCCGTACTCCTCTTCCTCTCCCCGCCTCCTGCTGCTGCTTTCGCCATCCCGATCTCTGTAGTAGTCTCTATCTCGGTCCCGCCTGTCTCTGCTGTCCCTCTCCCTATCCCTGTCTCGGTCCCTGTACTCCCTGTAGTCGCGGCTGTAGTCTCGGTCTCGGTCCCTGTCTCGATAGTCGCGACCGCTGGAGCGGCCGCTGTCGCTGCGGTAGTCGTCGCGCCCCGAGCGGCTGTCCCTACGTACGCCTCGAGACGAGGAGGAGGAGGAGTAGGAGTCGCGCCCCGAGCGGCTGTCGCCTCGATCGCGGCCGCCGCGCTGCAGGTCTCGATCGTCCCTGATGATGATTCGCGATGCGGAGCCTCCCTCCTCGAGAATCTTCTTGCGCTTCTCGGCGAGGATGGTGCGGATGGCGTCGAAGCCCTGGTGCTGCTTGCCGTCGTTGTGCGATTTGATGCGATCATCGGTGTCGCCAACGACCAAGAACGCGCCGCAGACCTCGCACACCTTGAGCCGCTTCTCCTGCTGCTGCGCCGACAGGGCCGCACCGCCGGGACCGCTGATGCCCTTCTTGATGGCCTCCTGCTCGGCCTTGAGCTTGAGGATCTGGAGCTCGAGGCTCTGCGCCTCCTGAAGCCTGCCCGCCGCACCGAGATCCTCCATCTGTCGAAGAAGCATCTCGATCTGTTCGCTGATGGCGTCCATTTTCTCCATCTTGTCGGGCGTCAGAGGATTCTCGTGATCTTGGAGAGACAATCGCTGGTGCCCCCGATCGATTCTCTTGTCGAGGTCCGAGACCATCTTCTGCATGAAGGCGATGAAGTCTCTCTCGAAGGGGTACTTGGTCATCTTCTCCTCGAACGGCACTTCGTCGTACTGGGCCTTGATGTCGTCATCATGAAGGTTCGTGCACGGACCGAGATCGCTCTTGGTGTTGGTGAAGAGCTCGTGGGGGCAGAGGCCGCAAATGTAGAACTTGCACACCTTATCATCAGAGAAATGCATCTGCCGATTCGTCTTCTGATCCGGCAGCAGATCGCGGTCGCCGCCCATCAGCTGATCCAAAATAGAGCGAAAGCTATCGTACTTGGACGACATCTTTGATCTCTCTCCTCGAGCAGCCTCCTATCCTTCTGTTCTTCTACACACTGCAAAATCCACAAACGTGGGGTGGCCGGTTATTTCTCGCCAACAGAATATTCTTTGCTTTTTTATTTTTAAATCGAAAAATTGGAATAATTAGAAAAAGGAACAGAAAGCGGCTTGTTCGAACAATTTTGATTTATTGTAATATATTTTGTTAGTACTTCTTGGCATGGAGGAGTTCGGCAAGAAGGCCCTCACCACGGTACGCCCGCCCGCTTCCAACCTCCCCCCGGGCCGGTCTCCGGCACCGCGTGCCATTGCTCACTCATGCCCCCGGGGCGTGCCGCCTGCAGCTGCGAACGCTGGCCTCAGGCGACAAGTACAGACTCGAAAAAGATGTACGCCGCCTACTCGAGTTACACGTGGCACTGTGACTCACCACTCCTCTATGCATTTTTCGGTGGCGACGTAGGAATTCGACCTCGACTTGACGTGTACGAGCGTCGGCGTTGTGTGTGGTGGTGGTGGTGGTGGTGGTGTGTGTATTGACCACGGCGTACATCTGCAGATGTCACGCATCGGGTGATTGCGATGGGCTTCCCCGCGGACAAGCTGGTGGAGCAGGCCTATCGCAACCACATCGACGAGGTGAGCTGTTGTCATGACAAACAATCCTTCTTCTGCTTGCTTGTCTCCAGAAAGAGTGTTCTCACCATGACCACTCTATCGTAGGTCGCCGACTTCTTCGAGTGCCATCACAGCAATCATTACATGATATTCAACCTCACCGAGAAGCACTACGACCCCGGCAAGTTTCGCAACAGGGTACTGCGCAACACGCACACGCACACGCACAACACGCAACACACACAGCTTCTGAAGCTGGCCTTGTGTTACAACGTTGCGAACGCACAGGTGCGGTTCTACGGGTGGCCCGACCACCATCCCCCACCGATGAGCCTGCTCCACGACGTCGTCAAGGCCGTGCACGAGTGGCTCGAAGAGGACCGCCTCAACGTAGCGGCCATTCACTGCAAAGCTGGCCTGGGGCGAACGGGGACAGTGATCAGCAGCTACTTTCTCTATGCCGGGTTCATCACCGCACCCGAGGTGCGTCGCGTCACTGCTGGCTCTCTTCGTGTGGAGCCTCTCCCTGTACACATGTCTCAACGCTGCACATAGGAATCGATGGAGTTCTTCGGCGCGTCGCGCTCGCAGTCTGCTCGAGGCGTCAAGGTGCCCTCGCAGCGAAGGTCCGTCTCTCAGGCTCGCTTTGTGTGCCCCCCCCCTTCTCTCAACTTTCTCACCACTTTCTCACCACACGCGACCGCACGCACGCACGCACGCACGCACCACAATGCTGCAGGTGTGTCAACTACCTGCATCAAATCCTCACACAAACCAAGTCGCTCGACGTGGTCCATCGACCCAAGCGGCTCGTGCTAAAGGTTCGCACACGCGCTATATCCGCATGTGCGCGTGTGGCCAATGTTGGTGTGGTGCTATCAAACAGCGAATAGAGATGATGCCGGTGCCCGATGTCGACATGATCAAGGGTGGGTTCTGGCCCGTGGTCGAGCTCGTCGACATGCATCGCTTCCACTCGCCATTTTTCCTCAAGAAGGCCCACAGGTACAACACATGCCCTGCAATTTTTGTTGTATTTCATGCTATATTTATAATCTATTTTTATATATTGTTAGATACATCACTGGTACAAGCTGACTGTAATCGTGTGTGTTCTCTTCTTCACAGAATGTATTCAGGCAGGAAGGGTGATTCGAGCATCGTGATGGACCTCAACGTGCCTATTGCCGGGGATGTGCTCATTCGGGTGCGCCGGCCTCGTCATGATAGCCACCATGGGCGCGCCTTTCAAAGTGTTTCTCACAATGGTCATATTTTTATTCATTTATGTAATTTATGCAGGTCTACCACTTTCAGGACCTTCTGATCGGCAAGTCGTACCCACGACTCATCTTCAGGTATGTACACATTTCCCTATTTGCCGCCATCAAGTCAGATCCTCACTGTGTGTGTGTGTGTGTGTGTGTGTGTGTGTGTGTGCGCGCGCGCGTGTGTCACAGATATGGCTTCCACACATCGTTCGTGGAGGAGAACCGGTTGATGATCCCCATGACCGAGCTGGACGGCGCCGGCCATGGCCAGTTCTCGTCCGACAGCTTTCCCTCCAACTTCGTGCTCCTCAACACCTTCGCCGAAGCCACTCCCCAGCCTCAACCCGGTATACACCCGCCGCCGCTTGTTCGCTGCACCTGCCACATCAGCGCTGATGGACCTTCCTTCGTGTCGTGTGCGTGCTGTGTGGTGTGTGTGTGGTGTGTGTAGACCTCGAAGTGGGAGCACAAGGCGGTATGGCGGCCCGGCGAATGCCTCTATCTCCGCCGCATCGGCTGCTGATTCCCGGCGCGGCGAGCCCCTATTCGAGCGGCGGCAAACCGAGCGAGGCCGAAGCCGAAGCCGAAGACAGCGGCAGCGACGAGGAGGAGCGGGAGCTCAAGGCCGCCCTCCGCATGGCGCGCCTGGAAGACGACCGGCACCGCAAAGAGGAGAAGCGGCGGTCGCGCCAGGCCATCAACTTGAACCGCCGATCACAGCAGCAGCAGCAGCAGCTGCCGCCACCGCCGTGGGACGCCTCGTTCTGCTCGCCGATGCCGCATCGACCTCTGCTGCTTCACCGCCCAAGCGGCCCGGCGCCATCCGCGCAGCAGCAGAACCCACCACATCAGCAGCCGCGCGAGCTGCCGCACATGGTGCCGTTATCGCAGCAGCGCCCACAGCCGGTCAACCATCAGCCGCCACCGGCGGCGGCGGCCTACAACCCCTTCCACGGCCCTCACCAGGCCCAGGCCCCGTCGCATCAGCCCCAGCACCAGCCGCTGCGGCCCTCCGACGCTGCGCAGAGCCGGGCGGACGGCCAGGCCTCAGCGCTGCATCCGTTCTTCGACCAGCTGCTACCGGCGCCGGCGCCAGGCGGAGGCAGCTCGGCCACGGCCGCCGGCTCGGGTGCGGCTGCTCGGCCGCAGCCCATTCGCATTGCCTGCCAATCACCCCGCAGACGCACGCCTTCGCCCTCGCCCTCGCCGGTCGACTCGTTAGCGCAGCTGATGGCGCCATCGCCGGCGCCCACGCTTCCCCCACCCGCGCACTCGCCGGCAGCTGCGCCGCCGCCACTGCAGCAGCCGATGGGCGCAACTCCGCCACCACAGCAGCAGCCACCACTATCGCAGTTCTTCGCACCACCACAGATGAACCAGCACCCGCACCCGCACCCGCCCCACCACCAGAATCACCCACCAGCGCCAGCGCATGATCTTCTCCGCTTCCCCTCCAGCCCGCACCTCGTATGACTCTCCCCGTGTGTGCGTGTGTGTCGTGCTGTGTGCCGTTGTTGCGAACGCTGACTCGGGGGGCTTGGTTGCCGTGCAGGTTTCTCTCAATTTTCCGAGCCCGGGTGCTGAGCGAAGGCAGGGCCAGGACGCCCAGCAGCAGCAGCAGCGGTATCTGAACGAGCTCATCGCTCCCGGTACGCTCCAACCCCCCCCCCCAAATTCACGCGCTGCTGGCCTTGTGCTGCCAGTTCGTTCTGACCCCACGCCGTCGTCGGCATTGCCATTATCATCATTAGCGGGAGTTCATCCTCCGGCAGCGAGCCCAGTACCACCGCCCGCCTGGGATCACCCGCCACACGCCGTCAGCGTCTGGGCGCAGCGACAAATGTACACCACACGCTTTCCCACATTCACACGCACGCACGCACCGCACACGCACGCACCGCACACGCACAAGTCGGGCTCACGACTGAGGTGGTGTTCAGGGAGGAGCAGAGGGAGTGGCGGCGCCTCTCCGGCGGACCGGAGCCGCCCTATCACCGCCTCCAGGTGCCGTGCGCGCTTCCCTCGCCGTCGCCCCTAGCCGCCACCCCGCCGCACTTCCAGCCCGTGGCCTTCCCGGCCGGCGCCCAGCCCCCCGTCTTCGCCGCCGCTGCCACACCAACTGGGCCAGCACGAGGGCCGCACCACCACCATCACCACCAGCAGCCACAGCTGCTGTCCCCTTCGGCCTACCTGCCCTCCTCTTCTCCTGGTGTTTCCCTCCACCACCACCACCACAGCTTGGGTTAGGCACTAAATAAGAAAAGAGTTGCATTATTCCTGCTTTGTGTGTCAAAAAAACATAGGTCTCATGCACCCAACACCTGGAACCAAAAACACCCCGTGGAGAACATGGAGACGAGGAAGCAGCACCCCACGAGTGCGAGGGGGGTGGGCAGGGTGCGTTTTCTGGTCCTCCTCCTTGCGGCCGCATTCATCGTGTGGCTCAGCCAGGTCTCGGACCTGGTGGCGCCACCTCAGCCCACGAGCGAAGGTGCTGCCGAGACACACTCACCGGTGGCGTGGGACGAGCTGCTGCACGCCAGCGAACCCTGCGCCTCAGGCATCAATGTGCTGTGGATCCTGTCCAACCCACACGACACGTGGGGCTCCTCCCTTTGGAGCGGCTGGGAGATAGCCGAAGCCATCAGTAAGTCTTTCTTTTTATTTTTAATTCAAAATTTAATTGCCCTTTTAAAATTATTTATTATTAGTTTTATTATTATTATTTATTGTTGATTGGATTTCTTAATCTGTGGTCTGCCCCCCTCCAGCCAAATATTTCCCAGATGTCGTGTGCCTTCCGCTGTCGGAGTACCAGATCACGGCCAAGAGCGACGAGCAGCTGCTGGACACCTTCATCGAGGCCGGGCAGCGTAAGGAGAAGCGCTCTCTAGACCTCTGCCTCTTCCTGAAAATCGAGTCAGTCGCCGACCACCTACTAAAAAGGTGCCTGTTCTGTTTAATTTATTTTTAAATATGTACATTTTGATTTGTAATTTTTATATTTATTTATTTGTCTTTCTCGCAGGTGTCTGGAGATGGGGGCGGCGAGGGCCATTCTGTGGGTGGACGGCCACCCGCACTTGCTGCGAAGCAAAACCGACGGCCGCGCCGAAACGGCCAAGAGCCCGTTCGACTACCACATCCAGGTCAACACGATCCCGGCCCAGCACTACGAGGGCGCGATGACGGGCACCCAGTGGATGATCCCGCAGCACAACTCCAACCTGCACGGCCTACGGCACAACGCGTCGGCCCCGGTGCGCGTCATCGGCTGGCAGGGCTCCAAAATGAACCGCATGGCGCCGTTGATCAGAGTACGTGCTGCCACGGCACGCACCATCGCACACGCACGCGATACATGGCAAGACACACACACACACACACACACACACACACACGACCCAACACGACTCATGACACGACGCGCAGGATACGATCACGGCGTGGGCGACGGAGAGGGGCATGGAGTTTCGGGAGTTCTTCTACAAGGGCACGCCGGCCTCCCGCGAATATCTCCTGGAGGAGCGCGACCAGGCCTTCAGAGACACCGTCGATGCAGTGGACATCATGGTCATCTTTCCCTCGGGTACGCCACACAGCTCTCTCTCTCTCCTTTTGTTTGTTACCTTCGATCTCACACACACACACACACACACGACACACACACACACGACACACACACACACACACACACACACACACACACACACACACACACACACACACACACACACACACACACACACACACACACACACACACACACACACGACAGAGGCGAACACGTTCTACAAGCTGATCTACAAGCCGAACGCAAGGAACATTTTTCCGCTCTCCATGGGCATCCCCACGATCCTGTTCCCCTACGTCAGGTGCCCTACCTACCCTACAGCCATGCAGCTTCTTTTTGCCGCTCCCTAATTGGTGACCCACCCACCCGCGCTGATTGCAATCGTACAACAGTTACATCGAAGAGCTGCGGTGGGCTCACTATCCCGGGTTCGCATCGAGTCTGCCGGAGCTCATGCGATGGCTGGAGATTTTGACCACCAACACGCATGTACGTACATGTCTGCTCAAGCTTCTCTTGCTGCCGGCGTGAACGACTAAGTCCTTCGTGACCGGGCGGCGGTGGGAAAGGCACGAGAGAGTCTGTCGCGGTTGGGGATCCAGTTCACGGAGCATTTGTCTTTGGACAGAATCGCCAGGTATCCTCCCCTTCTCCACGCCACACAACCCTGATGTGGCCAAAACATGAGAGGACCCCTAATCACAACTCCAACACTCTTCTGGGTACTCGCGCAGGAAATGGGCGTTTCATCTACGGACGGCCCTCTGTGGCCGCAAGCCCTCCACCCCACCCCCACCAGAAGTGCCCCAACCAGCTCCAAGCCCCTCATGAGGGGAGGCTCATGAGCCCAGCCGTACAACTTGTTTGGGGGGTTGTCTATCGCCACCTTAAACTTCCTGAAAAAGTTAGAACTATTGTTTTCTTTTGGAAAACAAAAAAGAAAAAGAAAACAAATCAGGAATCCAAAGCATCAATTAGCGACAGCACATCCAGGAGGAAATGGGAGAGTCACTCGAAGAGATTGGTGAAAGGCTACGGCTTCTGCTGGAGCAGTACAAACAGGTAGAGCTCGCCCTGGGCCAAGATCCCCAGAATGAAGAGCTCCTCAACGCCCGAAAGGAATTCCTGGAGATCGTTACCCTAACCGAAGACCTCTACAACATCAAAAAAGCTGAATTGATGCCCCCCAGACCTACTGCCGCAGCACCACCACTGCCAGCGGCGCACGCTCCACCTCCACCCATGCCTACCTCGGCCTGGCCCGGTGCTGTAGCCGCAGGCCCATTCGCCGTGGGATCGCGCGTGCAGGCTATCTACCGTACCGATGG